GAAGCTTGGAGCCCTGCCTGCTCTGGATAAAATAGCTGCCCTTCACTTCTCCGTGATTAAGCAACCATGGGTCACATCCCTTCCAGCCCACAGGACCACCTAGTGTCCTCACTTCCTTGCTGGCCTCTTGTAGATCTGTCCAATATCTAGGGCGACCATAGGTCTTGGCATCCTGGGGAAGACCTGGTTGCTCCTGTTGTCCCAGCATCCCCTCTAATCCAGCATTCGAGCCCCTCAGAAGGGATGATTCTGTGGCTACCCTAAGCCTACAGAGGCCTCGAGTCAGATGGCTTTGGTTCCATGCTGGCTCAGATCCTTCTAGCCATGTGGCCATGTGGTCCTGTGACCACAGGATCCCTTATCTGTGAAGTGGGGATAATAGTGCCTACTTTGGAGAGGGTTGGGAGGTTGGAAGGCAGCACGTCGGCAGAGGACGTGCTGGCACGTTGGTGCTCCGCTATTGACAGGCTTGGTCATGACATTCTGATACTGGGCATGGTGGTGGTGATGGTGGGGGGCAGGGGTGTCTGGGTCCAATCTGGAGCATTGGATCTTTGTGGGCTGGGTTTGAGGGTCATTTGCTGCTAAAAACTCACAGGAGAATATAAAGGGAGACCTCCATAAAAACCACCTTGGGGGCAAAGGTGGCAGAGGCCTCTGCCCCTGCCTTGCACAGGTGGGCTTGGGAGGGACAGGGAAATCCGTGACCCATAGAAATTTCCTCCTGCTCTGGGGCTGTCCTAAGGTTTGAGTCGACCCCTGGGCTTCTTTGGTGACAAACTCCCATCCAGTGCCACGTGGCTGGGCCTGGATCTCATCAGATCATCCTGGAGACTCTGGGGACCATGACTGCTGGTGGGGAGCGCCTGGCCTCCAGCTGTAGGAGTTGCTACCCGCAGCTTTGAGTTGAAAAAATGAGGTCCAGAGACTGTGGGGTATCCAGTCCAGAGCCACACAGCTGGGCATGAGGGAGCTGGATTTTGAACCCAGATCTGCAGGCAGCCCACGTGCTTGTCAATATAGGTTGCCCAGGACTGGATGAGCCCGGGCTTGGGGCACCAGCAAGCTGAGGACAGAAGGGGGAGGTGGGAGGACTTTGTTCTGAACCCCAGGCCTGAATCTGTGTCCTGAGGTTCTCCATCTGGAGGTCCTACAGGGCCCCCTGCTCAGTGTGACCTCATTCATTGGCCCTCTCCCCCCAAATCTTCACTCCCACCTGCCTGTGCTGAGCCACTGGGGGGCTGCTCTCACTTTCCCACAAGCCTTAACCTTTGGGGCCCATCAAGCCCATCCCCTCTTCCTCCTCCTCGTAGCCATGTCCAGCCCCTGTCCCGCCCCTTACCCATTTCCTCCTGCCCCCTGTGCCTCCATGTGCCTCCCCACTCCATCCCCACCAGCAGCCAGTGGGACCACCTGCAAACAGCCTCCAGCCCCACGTGTCTCCTGCTGCAGCCCCCTCCCCAACTCCTGGTGCCATCCAGATAGACTCACTGTTCTCTGGTCAGCCTGGGCTCAGTTTCCACGTAATGATGTTCCGGGCACAGGTCTCCCTCTATGCCCAATGAACAGTTCACTGATTTCCAGCTGTGCCACACTGCTGTGCAAGGCTCTGCATTTCCCTGTGGAGTCCGTCACATCAGGAATGTCCCCCCACTGCCTGGCAGATGTCCTTGCTCTCCCCCTAGAGCCCCTCTTCCTTTGGTCCTCCCATGCCCTGCAGGCCCCCTTTCCACACCCTTACTGCAGCCCCCAGCCCTCTGCCCCATGAGGAGGCCATTTCTCCCTCCTCTGTCTGCCCTGCCTACAGCCTCTGACTCTAATTCATTCTTGTTTCTCCCAGAGCCCAGAGCCATTCTGGAACCCGGTACTAGAAGAGTGTGTTCTTCTGAAATGAGGCCCCATGGAATCTGGCTTTTCTCCTGGAGGGAAGTTGGTGGATTTTAGGCAGAGGAGGCTGTGCTCATGGCTGTCTGGAAGAAGCCAAATCGGGTAGGAACGACACTGCCAGACAGGGAGGGGGAGGAAGGACCTTGACTCAGTGGGAATCTGTCCTCCCTGGAGAATGTGGGTCCAGAGAGGGTTAGCCACTTGTCCAAGATCACACAACAATCTGGGGCCAGGCCAGGACTGTGACTGAGATGTGTCTCATTCTGAGGCTTTGCTCTTCAGACATTCTGGGGTGATCTGGGATCAAGGCAGGAGATACGTGCTGGAGTGGTTGGGTCTCCACTTTCCCCCTGAGGACCAGGTTCTCAGGACACTGGGAGTGGTCCTCCTATTGCGGAAGGGCGACTCCAGGCTGGCAGAGCCCAGGCAGGAGGCCTGTCTTTGATTCTTTGATGCTCACACTTTGTGGACCCCCGGGGAATGCCTGAGTCATCGCTGAGCTGGCAAACATATTTAGCTCCTTTCATAGTCTCTAATAAATCAATTTCTCTAGGTCTCTCACACGTGCTGCTCGACTCCTGGCTGCCTGCCCCCCATCTTCTGCCCCCAGGCATCTGGGTGCAGGGGCCCAGAGCCAGCTCAGGGGTGCTCCTACTCCCCAGGTGCTGAAGGGGTCATCCTTGCCCTCTCCTACTCCATCCCAGGGCATCCTGTGCCAAGCCCTTGTTTTGCAATGGCATTGTTCAGCAGCCCCGTTACTGGATCCCTAGGCAGAGCTTCATGACAAGGGGCACAATGGCCTCAGAGACGCAAAAGATGACAGCATTGTGCATACAGTTCAGCCCCTGCCAGGGTCCAGTCCCCCTCAATCTTTCATCCTCTTGGCTCACTGAGGCTTCTTTTGGGAGTTCAAGGGATTCCCAGAAATACATTGTCTTGTCACACAGCCTTGTGTTGGCTCCTCCTGGCTAGAGGAGCCAGGCCTCCACTTAGCTTTCATGAACACCTCTTCCAGTAAGCCTTCTCAGATCTTCGACCCCTCCAGCCCTTCATGAATCTTTCCTCCTCCAATGGCCTAGCTGGTTTTGTATTTCCATGAAAACATATATATATGTTTTCTGAGGCTCAGAATGCTTAGGAAACTTGCTTAAGACACAGGGTAATCACTTTGCTGTTTACCTGAAACATTGTAAATCAACTATACTTCAACTTAGAAAAAAGACAGTAAAATTGGGCCTTGGGTGGCTCTGCTACTGCCCCCTGTGGCCTATTATGGTAAGCGGCTTTTATGGCACCTTTTCACTTGCCACCCACCCCTGCCACACACAATACTCTCAATTCACCCCAGGCAGGGGGCTGCATTGTACCCATGTCTGGGAATCCACAGGGAAGTCCTGGGGCTCACCTGTATGAACCCTTCAGGGAGGAAGGTCACATCTAGAGAGGGTTAGCTACTAGTTTAGGATCCCATAGCCAGAATGCCAGAGCTAGAGTATCCTGACTCCTAGGCTGAGCGGGGCGACTGTGCCCGGCATGAGGGGAGAGGGGAGGCCCGTGCTCATCTGTTCCCGTCGGTCTCTGTTGGGCTGTTCAAACCCGAAGGTCCTAGTTGACTAGGAGCATCCCTCTCCAGGATGGCAGGGCCAAGGCTGTACTCTGGGCAGAGGCCTCATCCCTGCAAGGGCAGCCGGTCCTGTCTCCAGGCTGGCTGCGTAGTAGAACCTCTCATCCACGGCTGGTGGGAGCCCCCTGCTGCCCAGAGTGAGGAGTGGTGGAAGGGTGGGAAGGTGGGCAGAGGCCACCCTCGGGAGGAGCAGGGGGGCCTGGGCCGGCAAGTCAGAGCCGGATCACCCTGCGTTCCCAGATTGCGACGTGGCTCTGCCCACCTCTGCAGCCGCCACTACCTACCAGCATAATTTTTGGCACAACGCCTTGTGCCTTCAGACATTTACACCTGTTGATACTGAGCCCAGAGGGCCTTTTCAGTTGCCTTTAGTCTAGCCAAGAGGTATTGTGCACCTCCTGTGTGCCAGGCACTGAGCAGTGACTGTCCAGCCTGTGGCGAGTTCGCAGTCAGTGTGTGTGTGATGGTGGGGGGAGCAGGCATCAGGTGCCCTCACTGCAGGTGTGTGTCCTTTTCTTCACCTGGCTGCCAACACTCAAGCACAGCTCCTCCGAGAAGCCCCCCAGGGTTGTGCCTCTGCCCAACCCAGCCCAACCCTCCAGTGGCCTGTGTGTTCCGCTATATAACAGCATGGGTCGGCTGGGGCTGTCACTGCATGTTTGCACCTGTCTTCCCCAACAGATTTAAGCTCCCTTTGAGGGCAAGGGCTTTACTTTGATCATCTTTGGATCCCTGGTTCTGTGTGTGGAGCCTGGAATATAGCAGGTGCTCTATAAGTCCGGGTCAAATGAAAGTATGTCTGGAGAAGTCAATCAGTTCAGTGCTTTAAAGTCGTCAAAGTCCTGTCTCCAGTCTGTCTGCGTAGTAGAACAGAGTGATTCAATGGTGGAATTTCAGGCAGGGGGCTGGGTTAGGGTGTGGGGGCCACCTCAGTGCTCTACACATCTGACGGCGCTTTCTGGAGTCCTAGACTTCAGGACCACCAGAACGTAAGCCCTATGTGGGCAGGGATTCTGTCTTGTTCCACCATGCCTGTACTGTAGGTACTTCATAAATAGTGCAAAAAGTACAAATAAATGAAGACGACCAAATGCAAGCCCCTCTGTAACACCTCAAGTGATCATTGGACCTAATTGATACTTGCATCCCTCCCAGACAGGGAGCTCATTACCTGTCTCCTGAGCAGCAATTCTTTTTCTCTTTAGACAGTGCTACCTATCTGGAAGTTCTTTTGTGTTTCCCTGGCCCTGGCAGAACAAATGCATCCCTGCCCCTGCTTTGAGGGATCCCTGAAGCAAATCTAGTGCCTGGGAATGTCTGTCCAGCACAGTGGCCCCCATGCCCGGAGGTGAGGGTCCGGGGCCCTCTGAGTGCCCACTCCTCCCTGTCTGGCCCTCCTGTCCTCCAACTGGGAGAGGGATGAAGGTGAAGGGCCAGGGTAGGGTCAAGGTGGGCAGATGTGCTCACAGAGAGGACAGGGCCCCAATCATGAGTTGAATCATGAGCTTTATTCTTGATTCTGAATAATTCCCAGAACAGCCACTCATGCCCCGAAAATCCCTCATTCCACCCTCTCAAAGATGGGGGAGGAAGCTGAGGACCAGAGAGGGGAAGGGACTGGATTAAGATCATACAGCCAATGTATTCCAGTGGCAGGAGAGGACTTCAGAGCCCATGCCCCCTGGCTGCTCCTTCAGGGGCCAAATGAGGCAGCAGAAGTGGCGCTCAGCTCCCAGGCTGACGAGGGGTCTGGGGAAGACCTCAAAGGTCCTGTCAGTCTTCCTCCTGCAGACACCCAACCAGATCCTCCTCAGTGCAATGTCATCACCAGATACTTGCACACCTGCAGAGACAGGGGTCTCACCACTCGCAAGGCAGCTACTCTATCCTGACCCCATGGAGGGCATGTATATGTGTGTGGGGGTGGAGGCAGAGAAGTTGCCTTTCCTCCCCTGGGGAATCCACCTTGCTCCAGCTCACCCACACAGGCTGGCAGTGGGGCAGAGGTAACCTCATATCCTGTATACCTGCCAGGGAACTTCCCTCCAGGGGCTCCCCCAGGGCCTGTGCCAGGGGGTGAGAAGCACAGCTGAGAAGAAACCTGTTTGTGGAATCCTCCTTCAGGCCGGGCCCTCCCAGGAGACAGAGCTGCCCCTGCCTGTAGGCTGGGAAGTCAGCTCCGCTCTTGGTGGTGCTACTGCAGAGGGTCTCACGATGCTGGGACCCAGCTGGGGCAGCTGCTCACCACCACAGGATCCCTGGTCAGTGGTCCAGCAGGGAAGCTGTAGCTGAGACTCTGTTCCAAGCTTCTGGGTCACTCACTTGTGTGGCTGCTGCCTCCAGGCAGCCCTCCTGGTAACCACAGCTCACAAAACTCTCTTCTTGGCTTCTTGGTTGTACCACCAGTCCTGCTTGAGTACATCTGTCTGGGATGCTCTCTGCCATTTTTTTGAAGAGTCCCACCTGCCTCTCCTCTAAAGTGGACATCCTTGAGGATGGAGCCACTCTGCTCTTGTCAACCCAGCAGATTTCAGTCCAGAGCCCCTCTCCCAGCTCTTTAAACAAGTGCAGACATCAGCCAGAAGCTCCTTGGGAGATGGAGTGCAATCCTGGCCTTCTACCGAGACGAAGCAGTCTGAGAGGAGGGAGGTGGCCAGTTCACGCACTGCTGGGACCTGCACTGAGCCATCTCCGGCAGGTTGGAGGTTGGGGGGTGGGGGGCACAGAGCAGAGGGCCAAGACATTCCTATCCAAACACCGCAGTTTTCTAGGCACCAGAGAAGGAGTGTGACTTGGCAGAGGGCACACAGCAAGTTGGAGACAGAGCTGGGACTGAGTCTGTGGCATCTGGGCTCCTGGTCCAGTGCTCTTGGGGTCTCCCAGAGGTCCTGTCTGTGGGTCCTGAGATGCGTACGTGTGTCGCTTGGGCAGGGAGGGCCAAGCCCCAGCTGAGGATGGGGGAGGGGCCGGCCGAGAAATCCCCTGAGGAGAAGGAGGCATCGCCCTGGGGGGACGGTTGGAAGCACTCAGGCCCCTGCTGCTTTGAGGGCTGGCAGCATTTCAGAGTGTGAGGAGACATGTGACAGAAGAGGAAATGGAGGCCCAGAGAGAGGACGGCGTGCCGGATTGGCCGGTTTCTTTCGGCTGCTTTCCTTACCCCTTACTGCGATGGGCTTGGGGTGGAGGCGGAGCCTTTCCTGGGTGCCCAGGGCCCTGGGCCTTGTGGTTGGGCTGTGAGCCCTCAGTGGTTCTGACCCATCCTCCTGAGCCCAGCCTCTCTCTCCTGTCAGCGCCGAGTAAAGGGGGAGAAGGAGGATGTCTGCGGCCAGAAAAAGGGTGCCCTGGGGTGGGCGGTACATCTCCAGGGACCATACGTCATGCGGCTCCCAGGACGCCTGGCACTACCTCCCAGAATCTCACTGCTTGCTGGCAATCTTCTTCTTCCGAGCAGAGACCAGGTCGTAGAAGGGGACGCGGGTGATGCTGGCTCTGGAATAGAGCAGGTGCAAAGATTTCAGGGCTGGGCGGGCTGACAAGGGGCACCCATCTCCCAGGGATTGTAACAGGAGCGTGGGTCTCCCAGGGAAGAGACCCTGTAAGTTCCTGGGACACGGCCCCCAGCCCATCGACCACTCCCGTGTCTTCTTTGGCCAGCAGGACCCGCTGTCACCCACGTCTCCCCACTGTCTCAGAGTCAAGGTTGTCACCCTGCCCCTCACCTGGCCCCCCTCCACCTGTCCCTCCACTGCCTACCTTGGCACCTCAGAACCAGCCCCTGTACTGTGACCTTTCTCACCTGGCCACACCCCTTCTCTGTTTACCTTTCAGTGGCTCCCCGGTGCCCCCAGGAGAAATGCAAGCGCACTGCCACGGCCACCAAGGCCTGCCATCCTCTGCAGCCTCATCTCCCGCTGCTCAGCCCCGACACTGCACAGCCAGGCCCCTGCACTGCCCGGCACTGCCCAGCCGCACGCTGCCCAGCACCGGCCACCCAGGACTCTGGGGTGCTGTCCAGGTGGGCCACACACTGACCTGCCTCTGGTCTTTGCCTACACTGCTCCTTCCACCTAGAAAGCCCTTCCCTCCAACTCCACCAGTTCTTCAGGGCTACTTTGGATCCTGATGCTAACAAGAGCACCATTCACGAGCACTTACTAAAAGCCAGACGCTGGGCAAAGAGCTTGACACGCAACATCTCCCGTGAAGTTGGTGCCTTGTTCTCCTGTGTCCCGGGAGCCTGGCACTGAGCCGGCCCGGAGGGGATGCTCACAGCATATGGTGGGAAGGGATTTACATGCCAGAAACAGGAGGGAGATTCTGGAGTTAGCCCCCTTTACAGACTAGGAAACATGGTCCTGAGAGAAGCAGGAGCTTCTGGAAGGTGACAGGAGACCCATCCCCACCGGCCCTGCCACCCGTTACCGTATGGCCTCGATCCATTGGTCCCGCTCCTCGGCACTGGAGGCCGAGATCCGGTAAGACTCATGCTTGCCCTCCACCACTTTGCCGTCGCCGTCTGTCTTGCAGGCCTTTATTTTCTGGCCCCGGGAGCTGGGGTTGTAGAGCTCCAGGCAGAACTGTGGGGAAGCAGCCAGGTGAGGGCAGGGCAGGGGCGGGAGGAGGGCAGCTGTACCGGGCTCTCCGCGAGGCTCAGAGAGGACTAGACACTTGGGTAAGACCAGTGCTTGGACAAGTAGCAGGACACACTCGACCCCCAGGCCTTCCTGTGAGGGGCCGAGGGGCAGGAGCTGCAGCTCCTCATGCTGAGAACTTTCGGTGTGCCAGGCTCCATCTAAATTCATGATTCTTCTTAAAATCCCCAGTTGACAGAAGGGGAAACTGAGGCTCAGAAAGGCGCAGGGACTTACTGAAGGTTCCTGCACCAGTGTCAGAGGCAGGCTCTGAGAGACAGTGAGACCATATTCTCTTGATGCCATTGACCTGCCCCCGGGGTCCCCACCCCCAGGAGGGAGACTGGGGCAACCCTGAGCCTCCCAGAAGGTGTGATGGGCACAGCCTAGCCTCCCCGAGCGCCCATCCCAGCCGCCTTCTCCTCCCACCCTGTTTCGGAAATTTCCCCAGCTGCTCCGGCCTCAGGCCTCCACCCTGACACCTACTGGCTTCTTGGGGTCGTCCACCTTCTGCACTGAAAGGTTCTCAAGGGGTATGATTCCCCGTGGCTCCTTGTCCTGCAGGGGAATGGGAGGGAAGGTTAGGATCAGCAAATGGAGTGACCTTGGGGGCTCCCCAGACCCCAAGATGAGTGTGCCCACCTCCCCAGACTCTTTCCAGCCCTGGAGGGGTAGAGGGAGCAGCATGTGAAGAACCCTGGCTGGGAGTTAGGAAGCCCAACTTTAAGCCTTGGCTCTGCCTTGGACCATGGCCCAGCCCCTCTCCTTTGTAGCTCAGTTTGCCCCATCTGTAAAATGGGTGTGGAGAAAGATTGAATGATCTCAAAGGGGTCCCAAGCTCTGTTAATCGACTGCTTAGTGGGAGTCTGGAAGGGGGCTGAGGGAGGGGCAGGGCAGCGTCAGACTCACAGTGGTGAACTCAAAGTAGTAGAGGCAGCTGTCCGTCAGGATGAACCAGCGCCGTTTCCACGTCTTCACGCGGCCCCCTGCAAGAGGTCCGTGGTGGAGTCAGTCAGCCCTCCTCCCTGGGCCACTGACACTTCCCTCCATGGAAAAGCAGGGCCTTGGGCACTCTCCCCTGGGCTCCCGCCCGAGGCCCCTCATCCCCCACCTGCCACACCTTCCTTTGTATCCATCCCTTCCCCACCGAAAAACCCAGCGGCTCCCATTACCCCTAGGCTTCCCCTGAGCTGCCTGACCCGGCATTCAAGGCTGCTCCATGATCAGGCCCCGGCGCAGGCTGGCCTCTCCCGGCACTTCCCTGCTGCCCTCACCCCTCATTTCATCCCTTGGCCTCCTCCCTGCCTGGCACTGTGCTGTGCGTTTTATATGCCACCCCAGCCCCTCTCTGAAGGCCAGAGGCCCTCCCTGCGCCCTAGTCATGTTGAGGGGAAGCTCCCTGAGCCACATCCTGTCACACTCCCTCCCCCATCTTTCAGGGACACCCAACCCTCTGCCCACCAAAATCAGCCACTGGCTGGCTGTGTGGCCTTGGGCAGGGGCCCTAACGTCACTGGGCCTGGGTTTCCTCAGCATCACTCCAGGAAGAAAGACAGATCTGCGGTTGAAGTGTTTATCTATGACTCTGTCAGCTTCTGGTCCCCTCTTCCTGCTCATCGTTCCCCTCCCCATCTGTCCCCTCATTCCCGGGACAGACAGATGGAAGGATGCTGTGCTGGGAGTCAGGAGACCTGGGACGACCCGATTCCCCCCCAGAGGCTGCACATCAAGTGTGTGCATGGGTCAGCCGTGTGCTGGTGTGCAGGCACATTCGCACGTGTGCGCATGAGTGCGGGTCTCACCCAGCTTGAGCAGCCAGCCCTCGCGGTCAGGGTTGAAGAAGGTATGAGTGAGGTCATTGCCGTCATCCTCGGGGATGGAGAAGGGCTCGCTCTTGATGCTGTCAAAGAGGTTCTGCCCGGGAGAAGGGAGGGAAAGATCCGCTGTAACGTTCATCCCAGTCTAGGGCCTCAGTGGCCGTGGCCAGGCCACTAGCCCTCTGGGAAAACTCTTTCCCCTCCTGTAGCTCCGCGTTGGGCCTTGGCCTTTCTGTCAAACCCCCCGTCCCTCCAGGCCCACTGATGCTCCCCTGCTCTTCTGTCCCCACCCCCACGTCATGTCTCCTCCCCACCCCCACCACTGTAGAGCAGAGAGGGTGGCTTCAGCGCCACAGAGAGACTGTGTTCCACTGCCTTACACACGGTCCCCATGCTGGCAGTATTTTGATGTCGGTTTGCTTGCTGAGGCTGACCTCCCCAAACAGATGAAGAATTCTTCCAGGACAAGCCTGGGTGTCACAACCCAAGAGCCTCCCCCAGGGCCTGGCCTAAAGCAGGTTGGCAACTGTTTGCTGACCGAGAGGTTCCCATCTCCCACCCTCCCACTGGAATTCCAGCCAGTGGCATGGGAATGCTGCGGTTTGGTGTCAGGCCGCCTGGGTTAAAATCCCAGCTCGGTCACTGGATGGCTGTGTGACCCTGGGCATACCCCTCCACCTCTCTGAGCTGCTGTGTCTTCATCTGAAAAATAGACAGAACAATGCTGAGTTCCAGGGTCCTAGGGGGAGTAAATGGACTACACTGGGGTCAGAGCCCCTCCCCGCCCCCAAGTCAGGGGAAGATGATAAGGAGGAGAAGGCCCTGCCTTCATCCAGACCACCCAGCGCTGCTCTTACAGGTCAGATGAGTGAGTTGGGGCCATCAACCCCATGTCGGAGAGTGGTGGAGACAAGGAGGCTCGGCTAGGATGTGTACACACACGCACATGTTCACCTGTGCGTGCAAGTGTGCACACACACAGACACAAGCACACGCATTCTCTGGGGCACAGCAGTCAGGGGGGGCCTCCTTGGGCAGCATCCGGGGGGGAGGGGTCTCCTCTTACGTGCAGTAGCTGAGACTTCCAGGTGTACCCTGGCCAAGGGAACACAGAGGAGCTGCTAGGGAGTTGGAGATTGGTTGCTCATGTTGTGACTCAAGGTGGAATGCTGACCTTGGCTCTTAAAGAGCCCTCTCCTAGGCAGAGGGCAGAGCCCTGTTCAGGGGGATGGGAAATCCCCAGGGAGCAGATTCCAGTTCCCCATGGAGGACTTTGTAGCAGTGAGAGCGGCTGAAATAAGGAAGGAGCAACCTTGTAGGGTAATGAGTTCCTTGTCACTAGAGGTATGCAAGCCAGGGCTGAGAACTTCCTGTGGGGGAGTTGTAGATGTTGGCAACAGATCACCCCTGTGTGTTTTGAACCCCCTGCTGTGGGGCACCGTGTTCCGTGGACAATCCTGCCCAGATTTCCAAGTGTTTGGAAAAGCATTCTAAATTGTCTATTAAACCAGAGACAATGCGGGGTCTCCACTGTCCAGATAACTATATTACTTCCTTCTGTTGCATTTGTGTATGCTGCTGTTCAGATGGGTTCTTTGAAATTTTAAATGAAAAATTTCACAAGTACCATTTGATTTCCCAAAGGCGTAGAAATGGTGTGTGCTGGTTTTTAAATGTCTTTTCTGACCCAGGAGCGTAGGGGTGGCCGTGGGTACGAGAGCGGGAGTGGCTGCTGGAAGCAGGTTTCCTTGGGTTTGATGAAGGTATCTATCGACCGGTGGACTCCAATTCTCCGGGCTTAGCTGGCTGTTGGCGGGGGGGAGGGGACTATCTCTCTTTTTAGAGCTCGGGCACCCCTAGAGCAGCCAGGAAGTCTGGCCCCGGGAATTCCCAGGCGGTGCTGGCTGGTTGAATGTGGCCTGTGGCAGCAAGGCCTTGTCAGCAAAGCTGGCAGCCTAGGCAAATCTTCCGAAGGCCCAAGGAGGCCGGCAGTGGGGGCAGACAGGGCCTCATCCTTTGTGGCACCCACAGGGAGCCCCCGGCAGCTTCTGCCGGTGCCCTACAGACCGCAATTCTGCCCCCAGAAAGAAAACAGCTCAGTGCATCCGTGTTTCCTGTAATTTGTAAACACCAGCCTCCTCCCACCACCCCCGCCCCCTGTAAGAACACTCCTGCACCCACTGACACCAAACCACTGGGCCAGCCTACCTTCTCCCGGCTGGCTGGATGTGATCAGAAAGACAATTGCCATCTCCCGGTGGTTCTCTGGCCTTGCATCCACCCCTCCCCACCCACTCCATTCTCCCCTGGGGAATCCTGCCCCCACCCCGCTTTCTGTGACCCACACCAGCCAATAAGCCTTAATTCTGGGACTCTAATTGAAACTGTTAAGCAAGATGGAAGCCGGGAGCTGCCCGGGCCATCTCTGCCACAACCTGGGGAGAGCCTGTTTAAGAGGGAAGTTGGCATGGAGGAGAGGATTGCTCAGAGAGGGAGAGACCAGAATGAGCCCTGACCTCACTGAGCACCTAGATCTAGCTGAGCCTGAAGCTGCCCATCAATTCCAAATCTTTTCCATTTTGAGAGTTGAAATTCCTCCAGCCAGGAAGTAACCAGAAGCTGGGAAACACAGTCAAAACCTCCATCCCTAGAACTTGCCTTCTGGTCTCTGCAGAGGGAAGGGCTCAGGAGTCAGATAGACATGAGTTTGAATCTGGACTCCTCACAAGCTGAGACCCCTGGCCAGCTACCACTGTTGAGCTCAGTTTCCTTTGCTGTAACCTGGAGATGGTACCTACTGCCCAAGGTTGTCAGGATTACTTAATAAAAACAGTCAATGGGCCCAGTAAAAGGTCAGTTCTGATGGAGATGCTTGGACAAGAACCCAGGAGGTCCAGCGCTGGGCATAGCAGAAGATGCCCTGAACTGGGAGATTGTTCCCCTGCCTGGACTGTGGTTACTCCACTTGTGACACCAGAGGTTGGAGAGCCCTCCTTCTGTCCTCTTTCCTTCCCCTCCTCTACCCAAGCTCCCTTTTGGGGCAGCTCTGTCAAGGTGAGTGGTGCCAGGCACCTGAAGTGCATTGTCTGCTTCTCAGGAGAGTAACGTGACATCAGTGTCATCAGCCCACTTTGCAGATGAAGAAACTTGAGGCACACACTCAAAGGCACACAGCCATAAGGGCAGGGCTGGGATTTGATTTCCCATCCTCCAAGTCTACACCCTGAGTCTCTTAGGCACTCTGCCCTGTCCCCATCAGGATGGTCAGGGCAAGACCAGCTCAAGCTGCCTGAGCCCCAGCTCCCATCATGCACCTCTCTGAAGCCTTCCCTTGCTGTGCACCCTTGTGGTCATGGGGTGACCTCTCTTTAGGTAATGTATCTGTGTCAATTTCATTTCGTAAATCAGGCCACTTAAAAATGATGTGTCCTCAGCGGGGACCCGGGCTAGAGAAGCTTCATGGAGAATCCTTCCGCAGAGTTGCAAACTGAATCTCTGAAGGTGCTTAAGACCAAGTCCTTGCTTTACACATGGGGAAGATGAGATCCCGAGAAAAGGTGAGAAGACCCCCAGTCCACAGCAGCTACCTGGGAAAGCCTTGAAGACAAAGACCAGGCCAGTGTGGTTCACTTTGTGCCCAGGGCGAATTCTGGATTAGTTAGTCCAGCGACACTGGTGCTGTGCTAAATGCCTTACGTTTCTACACTAATCTTCTAAGCTGGGAGCTCAGAGAGGTCAAGCCACTTACCTGATGTCACACAACTAGCAAATGGGGGAGCCAGGTTTTGGATGTGGCTGTGACTCCAACGCTCTGTTGTCTGCTCCCTACTCCCCACTCTGTTCAGTGCCTGCCTCTCTTGGCTGCCAAGGAGGATAATAAACCCTTTCCAGACCTCACAGGCAGAGTTTGAAGCTAAATTGAGATAATAGACCCGAATGCCCTATGAGAAGAAAGTTACAAGCTCTATACAAATGCAGTGCATTGTTATTAACAAAAGGCTTGAATTGGGAAAAATATCTAAGGAGGGAGATGCTGAAGGAGGCTCTTTGGGGGCTGAAGCAATAAAGTGGCACCTGGGAGATCCAGCAGGACGGGTGCTGGCATGCCATTAACCCATTATCTGCCAGACAAGGTGTGCGCATCTTCCCTCCCTGAGTACCACAGTGAGTTACCAGTTCTCAAATGCCTTTCACATTGCAGGCATTTCACTAAGTGCTGGGGATTTTAAATTATTATTAATTATTCTTAATCATGACGTAAGTCACCATTTAGAGCTTGTGCTATGTACCTGGCACGGACTATGCCCTTTACAGTTTTAAAAATTACTACTCACAGCAGCTCTGTGATGCAGGCATCACTATCCCCGTTCTCCTGGTTGAGGAAATGGTGACTTGGAGAAGGTGAGTCGTTACCCAAGGTCACCCAGCAGGCAAACAGAGAGATGGGATGTGAGCTCTAACCTACTCTCAAGCCCTCCTTTTATGTTGTCCCTCCACTTCCACGATGAACTTTCTCCTCTGGGGACCAAGGAGGGTGGTGGCCTAAGGGTGTGGCTGTTCTCAAACTCTGAGGGGCACCGGAATCATTCCAGACCCAGGCTCTCCCCTCACCAGGCTTCTGCTGAGGGAGGTTCCCAGGGTGTGGGGGTGGCGTTCACACCCTCTCCTCCCCTCCTGCAGGGCTCTGACCCAGGGGGAACTGAAGCTCTCTGGAGCTCTGAGGCACCTCTAGCCCTGGAAATGAATTGTTACTGCATTTTTGCAGAGCCAAGCTTTGACTCTCACTCCTGTGTTTATAAAACAGCTCCTGGTTTCACTTTCCCCACAGGAAGCAGGCAAACTCCTGTCATTACAAGCCCTGGACACTCTGGCCCCATCCTGCCGCCATCACTATCTATACATACCCAGCTGACTACTCTGGATGTCCTTTCCTTTCCCAACCAGGCCAGGTTCTGACCCCTTCCTCTTTCTGGAATGTCCTTCCCTTACTTTTCCTCTGGGAAAACTCCCATTCAACCATCAAGGCCCAGTTCAAAAGTCACCTCCTCTTTGGAGTCTTCCAGGATAGCACCCTTCCCCTGCCCCCAGGAGAGTGATAGTAGAGCCCTCTGTGTCTCCATAGGTAGGTTACTATGGTCAGCACAGCATGAATCACACAGGGTTATAATTCACACATGTCTCATTGTCCCACCAGACCCTGAACTAGGGTTGATTCATCCCTGGGCACCCCGTGCCAGGCACAGGGCCTGGTGCAGTGTCGGAGGGGTGAGGGCTGTTTGGGGAAGAGATGGGAGGCCTGGGTGCTGCTTGACTTCTCGAGCTGACGTGTGGCAGGTGAAAGATTCATTTCTTCCCCTCTGAAGGGGGGAGGGGCTGAAGCAGAGTGAGAATTTTCAGCTCTGACCCGCTGAGAGTTTAAGAATCTGAGATTCTAAGAAATGATCTAGGCTGCGTGAGGAACTTCCTGGAAGGTGTGAATGATGGGCTTCTAGAGTTCCCCAAAGGTTGTTGTGAGTCTGGTAGGACCTCCTGGATGTCCTTGGACCTCCTTCTTGAGATTGGGGCCACTTGGGAAAGCTCATCTTAGGACCAGTCTCTTTTGTGATGATCCATCTCAAGACAGTTACCAACCTTAGAGGTCCATCTCAGCAGCTCCCCCTCTTGGAGTGGTCTATCTTAGGGGAGGCTCTCTTGGGCCATCCATCCAAGGACAGGTGCCTCTTGGATGCCTGGGGCCAGGGCTGGGTGGGGCCACATCCCTCTTACCCGTAGCTGTTCCTCAGGCAGGTCACTGCCGTCATTGATGCCACGATTCATGGACACAAAGCGCTCGAAGGGCGGCCTGTCCCGGACGTTGGGGTTGTGGAGGCTGGTGTTGAGCATGATGATGGAGAAGGACAGGACGTAGCAGGTGTCTGCAGGATGGGACAGCAGGTCACGGTCCTGGCGCTGGTCACTCTCCCCTCCTCTGCCCTAACCCCTTCTAGGGGCCAAGAGTGCTGTCTGTATACCTTGAAGGTCCACCCTGTCCTTCTGCCTTGGCATTCAAGGTCCGGCCTCACCTCCCACTCCTAGGGGGCTCCCTGCTCCCAACAGGCTTCAGCTGTCAGCTTCTGAGCCCCTCTGAGTCTTCCTGCCGCAGCACTTCTGCTCCTGCTGGGCCCCCTGCCAGGCACGCCCTCCCTTTCCCTTTTCTACTATTTAAACCCTCGTGCTCTTGCGGCTCCAGCTGCAGCCCTCCTCCCCGCCGAGCCCTTCCAGCGCCCCTGCCCACTCTGTTCCCTGCCTCCTCGGAACCCAGAGAAAGCTTATTGTCGGCAACACTGTTCAGGGCTTTGTCACGTGCTGCTTGGTAATCTTGCTGGCGTTGTGGGGCTCCCGGCGCCAAGCTCCTGTTCCATTATTCAGACTTTCATGCGCTTGGGAGGGCGGCTGGGCTGAGCAGTTGGGAGGGAGGTGATCGCTATTCTGTGGTGTTTTAAAGCCCTGAGTCCAGGGCCAGGGAAGTCCAGCTGTGTCCCCAACTCTCTGGTTGACCTTGGAAAGTACCTGGGCTCCCAGAACCTTAGCTTCCCCATCTGGGACATTAGGAGGTTTAACTTTGCCCAGTAATTTTTTCTTTTTTTTGTGGGTGGGGAGGTAATTAGGTTTACTTATTTATTTATTTAATGGAAGTACTGGGGATTGAACCCAGGACCTTGTGCATGCTCGGCATGCATTCTACCCCTGAACCATACCCTCCCCACTAGGAGGCTTAACTTTGAAGAGTCTTCATGTTCTAGAACGTCGACAATTCTAGCTCTGATGTCAGTGGCACCTAATGTTGTTGGTGTTCGCTCTGTGCTAAGCTCTTTAAGTCCCATGACACTATGAGGTAGGCCCTGCTCCCACCCCCATTTTACAGACTAGGAAACTGAGGCTCAGGGAGGGTCAGTTACACGTCTAAGGTCACAAAAGTAAGTTGAGAGACTGTGATTCACATCTGGTGCTTTAAAATTCCTTTCTTCCTACAAATATTTATTGAATACCTACTAAGGACTGTAGACTGGGGATTCACTGGTGAAAAAATCTGGACGGTTCCCACTGTCGTTGGGACATTTAGACTTGAGGAGCTGACAGATAATAAATAAGCAAATCCCTAATTTGTCTATAACTACAAAGTAAGACAAATGCTCTGTAGGACTTGCCATAGATACACTGCCAAGAAGCCCCCTTCACTTCTCTTGAGTTTGTGTTCAACACGGGAATGAAAATACTGCTGACCTTGCAGAGGGAATGGAAGGATCACATGACTTTGCGTGTGTAAAGCACTTAGCACACAGGGAATGCTCAATACATGGACTTGATGATTATTATGGTAACTTCAGATCCAGAGAAGAGGCCAGGACAAGCCTGTGGTGATGATTTCTCGCCCACTGTGTTGGGGGATATGGAGGACTGACCTTTTCTGATGTCCTTCTAACTCCCTTTGGTCCCTCCATCCTGCTCAGGCTGTTTTATACTTCTGTGCCTTTGCTCAAACTAGAACTCCTGCCTAAAAGGCCTTTTTTCCCCTTGACCTCCTGGAGAACTCCTATTCATCCTTCAAAATCCCATTCAGACCTCATTACTTCTAGGAAGCCATCCTGGACATGCTGACTCCCCCATCCCTGCCCTCAGATGGGGTTACTGCTGCCATAGCACCGTAGTGACATTATTTCCTGCCTCCTCTCCCAAGGATCATGCCCCGAGGCAGCTCTGCTCAACAGGCACCTAGCAGAAGGCCTGACACAGAGCAGGGGCTCAGTGAGGGTTCATGACGGGAATCTGGGTTCCCAGGGTCTGGGTGCTTGGGAGAAATCTGAGGGAGTAGAGAGGCCATGGTGCCTTGGAAGGCAGACTTGGGCAGGCAGAGTCCCCCCAACCCTGGCACCTGTGGACTGGAAGACACCTGGGTTGCAGAGGCAGTATCGGGTTGCAAAGGTCTCCATCATGCGGTCGATCTTCTGGGCCTCGCCTGGCAGCCGGAAGCTCCACAGGAATTGTCTGGGGGATGAACAGAGCCATGGGCAGTGAGGGCAAGGGGTGGCTTTCAGTGGGGTTATGGGGGGACCTTCCCCCCCATAAGCCCCTCTGCCTCTCCTAGGCTTAAATCTTTATTCTGTCAATGGGAGAGTCTGCACCTGTCATCTAGGCTCATGGGGAGGGGTCCGTGGAATTTGTACTAGTGAGCAACAAGCCTTCAGGAGGGACCCAAGAAATGCCTTTTCTTCCAGAATAAGGAGCTCAGCAGATGCTCCCCTCTGCCCATCTGAGGCCCAGTCCATCTCAGCCCACGAGGGGGGTCTCTGCTGACTCCGTTTCTGAGGCCCTTCCCTGCCTGGCTGTTGGACCCTGAGGGAGTGCCTTCCCCTGGCCGGGCCTCCTTTTCTTGGAGCTGCATGATTTCCACAGCTTCCAACTAAGTTCCCCAAGGGCAAGTGCTGTGCCTGCTCCTCTCACATCTCCTGCTGGTTCTCGCACAGGTCAGGGTACCCGGTGACTAGCTGCTCAGTAAAGGCTTGTTGAATGAGTGAAAGAATGAACAAATGAATAAATGAATGAATGAATGTTGGAGACTCCCAATCACCTACCCCTCTATTTTAAAGAGCATGGGAGTTGGAGGGAAGGCCACATTGCCTGGATGGTGGTGGCTTCTTCCTTCTCTGCCTTGCAAACTCCTATTCATTCGTCACAGCCCAGATCAAATGCCCCCACTCGGGAACTGATTTTCCAGGCATCATCCGCAGCAGCAAGACTTACTAAGCACTCACTAGGGACCAGTTCTAAGCACTTTCTCATTTCATCTTTACAACCCTATCAGGTTGGTACTGTTACTATCCCCATTTTACAGATGAAGAAACTGAGGCACAGGGAGTTTTTTTTTTTTTTTTTTTTTATGACTTTCCCAAGGGATGAGCAGCAGAGCTAGGAGAAACGGGCAGCCTGGCTCCAGAGTCTGTGCTCCTAACCCATATACTGTGATGCCTCCCATGGCTGTAAAAATGAGTAGCAACGGTAATATCCTAATTAGAAAATGAAAAGTAATAATAAATGCAGCACACACTAAGCTGTATTAATAAAATAAATAAAACAAGCACTAATCCAAAAAGCAGTGGGGATGGCAGTAATAATAGTAATAACAATTACAATGATTAAATATTATTCTAATAATGGGGCAATATAATGATACTAGTAGTATGAATATTAGTAACCAGCCAGGCGCTGGTCCAGGCGGTCCCCACCTGGTACCTCACCTCACCTCGGCTCTATGTGGGGGGGGGGATACTGTCATTAATTAATTTTTGTTCCTGATGCTTTGTTTGTTCTGATAGCCATGGGGATGGTGGTGCTCCCAGTCCCCCAGCCATGCCACCCTCAGGGGTCAGGCCCCTGTCCCCTGGACCACTCACCTGAGGGCCTGGACGAGGTTGAGGTTGGCGAACTCGTGGCAGTCCACAAAGGCCTGGAGGACCTGCAGGTTGATAGGGTCCCTGGAGAGGAGGCAGAAGGGAAGGATTTGTTGGCACTCACCTCCTGGAGGGGGTTGAGGTGGGAGCAAAGGAGGGGAGAGACATCCTCCTTCCATATCCAGCCGCCAACTGGTCGCTCACATCTGTCTGAGCCCACATCACCGTCCCCCTGACTTTCACGTGAACACCCATGTCCTACACACAGCTGGCCCCGCCGACCACGGCACACCAGCACTGTTCTCACCCAGGAGGGGAGCTCTGGCTTCGGAGTGGCTTGCCCCGAGTCAAAGCCTTCCTCTTTTACTTCCTGCCTGTGTGACCCTACTCAAGCCACCTGACCTCCCCCAGCCCCAGTGTCCTCATCTGTAACATGGAGAGAACCATGCCTACTCCCATTTCCTGCCTCTTCCCAGATCTTAAATTGGAAAGCACTGCCCATCTTGCCACCTGCATCCCCTGCTTGCTTAGGAGGAGTGTGTCCTCTGGGGAGCCTGGAAGAAGGGTTGCTGGCTCCCTAGCCCAGCTCCATGCTTGTCCCCTACAGCCTATCCCCAACTCAGCACCCAGAGGGGTCCCCTCAGACGACTCCTCTGCCCAAAACCCTCTCTCGGGTGCCACCTTGTTGCCTACTACTTCCTTCCTCCCTTGCTGTCTTCCAGTCTCACTAGCCCCGCTATTTCTTGAGCAGGCTTCTGCCTCAGGGCCTTTGCACATGCCCTTCCTTCTGCCAGGAATGCTCTTCCCTCAGATGTCTACACTGCTCACCTCCTTTAAGTTTCACTCAAAGGTCACCTTCTTTGTGAGAGCCTTCATGTCCACACTATTGAAAGTCACAGCTTTCGACGCCTGGTTCCCAGAGCTTCTCCTCCCCCTTCCCTGCTTTATTGGTATTCCAAAGCACTTCTAGTATTCTAACTTACTTAACATATTTTGGGATCTGTCTTCCCCACTAGAACGTACCTCCCCGAGGGCAGTCAGCTTTGTTCACTGGTGTAGATCCAGGGCTTAGAACACTGCCTGGTGCACAATAGATCCTAAAAATATCTACTTGTTTTCTAAATGAAGGAAAGAATGAAGGCAGGCAGGCTTTGGCTCAGAATCTGGAGGGAAGTGATCAGCTGGCCCGCTGAAGCCCCAGAAGTTATGACTTGTCTAATAGGATGCATTCCCATAGTTACCTACACCTATCTGTGCACACCTGCACACCCTCATTCCCTGCCTCCCTAAGGCCCTGTCCTCCTTACCTCTCCCCCAAGTAGGTACCGATGGCCGTCTTGTTGAGGCCTTCACCCTTGTACAAGAACTGGGCGATGTCTTGGACGTCATGGGTCAGCAGCTTGTGCTCAATGAGATACTGGATGCCCTGGAGGTAGTACACAGAGGCTGTGAGCAGCCCCACCCAACAGCTGGCCTGGGAGGAGGATGGAAGGGAGTCCCTGTGGCCAGCGCCCTGGGGCCTGGTATTCTGGCATTGGCATAGCTTGTTCTGGGACGTTCCCTTTGTAAGGTGGTGAGTTCCCCATCAGCGGAGGCGTGCAAAGAGAGACAGGGTTCCTGCGATGAAGCAGGTTCATGCCAGGGGCTCCCCAGGGTCCCCTTCAGTCTGGCACATTTTGATTTTATGCTTCAATGATTCTACGAATTGATAATTTTAAGATGGAATGATTCAGCCATTCCTTTTGTCCCCTTAAAATTCATGTTATTTAAAAATAGTATTTCATCTTTTTTTCTTACAAGTAATCTATGTCCATTGTATAAAATTAGCAAAAAGCCAGCTTAATCAAAAGGAGAGGAGATTGCCCGGTCCCACCACTCAGAGGGAGACACTTTCCCGGCGGGTCCTGTCCTCCGCTTTGTGTGTGAAGATGGGAGTGTGCCTCGCCCGATTTCCTGCTCGAAACCTGCTTTTCTGATTTGACAATATCACAGCCATCGCTCCCCACAACCCGGGCACTCCAAGTCTGTCATTCTAATTTTAGGAGTTTGAGGGGCTGGTCTCTGGTTTTCTGTGATGATTCCTTTGTGTCCCTGTTCCTTTTGGAGAAGAGGCTGCTGGAAGATGGGGACAGGCTGTGGAGGGCTCTGAGTGACAGCAGATGGCCCTGGGGACTCCTCAAAGGCCCCTCCCAGGCAGGGGCGTGCGTTAGTGTCTTCCACGTGGATGGGGGCATGGGTCCGGTTTCTGTGACTGTGGGAGGTGGATGGGTGTGTGAAGTTGGTGGCCTGTGATGGGGAAGAGAGGCAGCCTTCTAAACCAGAGCAGTAAATTTCCAGGGACCCCTTGGCTGCCCTGACCCCACCTCCGTGTGTCAGCTTGTGGCTTCTTCCTGTCTCTGTTTCTCCCGGAAAGGAGCCCAGCTGCCACCTATGGGCGAGGGGGGTTGCTCTGAGGCCAGTAGGGGGCGGGGCGGAGGATGGGGGTTAGAGCACAGCTCAGCCCTGAGCTCCCCGTGCTCGGCTCTCTGTGCCAGCGTCCCAGGGCTGGCTCCCTCTAGCCGAGAGGCTGGAAGACACTTGTGAAGACTGAGCCCCAGAGTCTAAGGGCCCCACTGTGCAAAGTCCTACTCACAGACGGGGAGACAGAGGCCCAGAGCCAAGGGACCCCAAGTCTGCAGACATCACAGACCCCACCCCATCCACCTGGCTCCCACCTCAGGCCCCGGGGCTGCTATGCTGAGGGGTTAGCAGGGCCCCAGCCATGGACAAGATGCTGAGCCCAGCTGGGCCTCAGTTTCCCCATCTGCAGAGTGGGTAGTTGTGTCAGTTGAGGGGAAGAAGAGGGCATTGTGGAGGTGCCCAGCCCACAGCTCCCCCGACCCCCTGACGCGAGCCCCGGCACTGCCCACCTTCACCGGGTCCATGTTGAACTTCTTGCGCCCGATGCACAGTTCCTTCTCCTTCTGGGCCATCCGGCTGTAGACAGGAAGACGTCAGCTTGGGCAGCCCAGGGCCCCAGGGCACCCCGCCAATCCCGGGGATGCTCTCCTCAGCTAGAGCCAATATTCCCTAAGGGCCTGCGCCGGAACCACCTGGGAGAAGGTGAGAAAGGCAGGGTCTGGGCCCCTCCCTGAGCTATGAAACCAGACTTCCAATGGGCCCAGCACCAGCACTTTAACCAGTTCCTGAGCTGTGGCCTCAGGACCCAGAGTTGTTCTGGGGGGAGGATTTTGAGGGGCCCTGTGCTTGGAGTGGGAGCAAGATACTGGGGAGGCTGGGGATGAGGGCACAGGCTCTGCAGCCAGACTCCTGGCGCAAATCCCACTCCAGCGCTTGCTGGCTGAGACACTCAGGGCGAGTTGCTTCACCTCTCTGGGACTCAGTTTCCTCATCTGTAAGATGGAAGTGACTCAGGGGGAGGGTATAGCTCAAGTGGTAGTGATAGAGCACATGCTTAGCATGCATGAGGTCCTGGGTTCAATCCCCAGTACCTCCTCCAAATATAAATAAACCTAATTACCTCCCTCCCCCTCCCCCCAAACTAAAATTAATTAATTAAAATAAATAAATAAAATGAGAGGGACTCCATCACCTGCACCCCAGCATTGTTGAGAGGTTAAAG